GCAAGCTTGTCCACAAGGTCAATGTTGGGAATCCCATAAATGATTACATTTATGATGAGTTTTGTCGGAATTTTATGGCCCTGCATATTTTATATGATCCTTTGGAATCTGATAAGTATAGATTGTAAAGGAAATCAAAGGCGACGGCCGAAGAAAGAAAATTGAATTGGCTTTCTCGTCTTTTCTCATTGAGTTAGGGTTTCATATATACAGCTACTGCCGATAAAAGAATTAACGTAAATACAGTAAATACAAGACATTTACTAAACCCTAATACAATATGGTAATATCGTTAATACCCCCCAAGTTGGACCATGAAGATTCCGAATGCCCAACTTGGGAATAAAAAAATCAAATTGAGACTTGCCCAATGCCTTGGTAAATATATCTGCAACTTGGACATGTGTGGAAACATAACTAGGTAGAATAGCACCCTTCCAAATTTCATCCCGAATGAAGTGACAATCAACCTCAATGTGTTTCGTACGCTCATGAAAAACCGGATGTGAAGAGCGGCCTGATTATCACAAAACAGAGAAGCAGGCTGAGGATGTGAAACACCAAGAGAATGTAACAGGCCCTTAAGCCATTTCAACTCACATACAAGTGCAGCCATAGCGCGATACTCAGCTTCAGCAGACGATCGAGCAACTGTCTGTTGCTTCTTAGTCTTCCAAGAGATAGGAGAAGATCCTTACTGAAGAAACCAGCCAGTTAGAGAACGCCGAGTCAAAGGACAACTGGCCCAATCAGAGTCGCACCAACCAGAGAGCTGCAAATCGCAATCAGCGCGAAGAAGAATACCCTGACCAGGAGAACCCTTGAGATAGCGAACAACACGTAAAGCCGCCTCCCAATGAGCCTGCATGGGTTTCTGCATATAATGGGCCAGAGTATGAACAACATATGACAACTCGGGACGAGTAACTGCCAGATAAATCAAACGGCCGACCAAACGACGATAACGTTCAGGATCAGAGAGGGGCTTGGAAGTGACAAGAGAAAGCTGGTGATTGGGCTCCAAAGGAAAACTAGCTGGCTTAGCCCCCAATAGACCAGTCTCAGAAATGATATCCAGGGCATATTTGCGTTGGCAAAGAAAAATGCCAGTCGAGTTACAAGCAACTTCAATCCCTAAAAAATACTTCAAAACGCCCAGATCCTTCATATGAAAACACTGACTCAAATAATCTTTGAAAGTCTGAATGGCATTGTGATCATTGCGAGTAATTAGAGTAAGACTGCTTAAAACCATACCGACGCAAAGCCATAGTCAACTTGGCATACCAACAACGAGGAGCCTGACGAATCCATAAAGAAACCGCCGAAGTCGACAAACAGTCCCCGGATGAGACGAAGAGAATCCGGGAGGCAACTTCATATGAACTTCTTCGTCAAGATCACCATGCAAAAAGGCATTGTGAACATCCATCTGACGAAGTTCCCAGCCTTTAGTAGCAGCAACAGTGAGCAAAGTGCGGACAGTAACCATTTTGGCAACAGGAGCGAACGTCTCAGTATAATCCAGACCCTCAATCTGGTTATTACCCAAAATGACAAGACGTGCCTTAAATCGCTCAACTGAACCATCAGACCGATGCTTAATTTTAAACACCCATTTGCAGCCTATAGCCCGCTTGCCAGGAGGAAGAGACTCAAGCGTCCAAGTGCCGTTTTGTTCTAGAGCTTGAATCTCTTGCTGCATGGCAGCACACCACCTATCATCTTTTACAGCCTCCGAGAAAGTGCGAGGTTCAGTCTCTGCAGTTAGACTGGCCAAAAACGTCTGATGTGGAGCAGAAAAAGAATCACAAGATACATAACGATTCAATGAATAGGACGTACCTGAGGAGATTGACGAAGTAGATGAGCTGAGAGAAGGGTCTGAAGAAGTGATTGTATGGGACAGAAAATCAGTTAAACGGGTGGACCGAAACTTGGCCCGATGTCCACGACCCAGAAGTTCATCCTATTGTGGAGGAGGGGATTGCCCCCCCTGACATGAAGAAGGATCAACTGAAGGACTAGAGGGAGGAGCTGATTCTAAAGCAGCAGTCGAAGAACTAGGAATAGCAGCGGAAGGTAAAGAGACCACCCTTGACTCAAACTCATCATCTTCCAAAACAATAGGAGGAACGGAAGAAGAAGGAACAACGGGAGAAGGGGAAGATTGATAGGGAAATTTAGACTCAGAGAAAATTACATCGCAGGAAACAAAAATGATACCAAAATCTAAATCATAGAGTCTCCAACCCTTCTTACCAAAAGGATACCCCAAAAAAACACACTTGCGACTACGGCTAGAAAACTTATCACACTTGCAATCCTGGTTATGCACATAGCACAAACAACCAAATACACGCAAATGAGAAACAGAAGGGGGTTTGCCATAAAGAATTTCACAGGGGGTTTTCCCATTCAAAATACGGGATGGGGAACGATTAATCAAATATCCGGCTGTCAAAACACACTCTCCCCAAAACTCAATAGGTAAGTTGGCCTAGAACCACAAAGCACGAGCAACATTGAGAATGTGTCGGTGCTTGCGTTCGACACGACCATTTTGTTAAGGAGTACCAACACAAGAGGTTTCATGAATAATGCCATGTTGGCGGAAATAATCAGTCAAGCATATAAACTCGATACCATTATCGCTACGAACGATTTTCACAAGTTTGCTAAAATGACGTTCAACCATGGCGAAAAATTGGAATAAAGTAGAGGAAACCTCTTTCTTATCATTCAACAAATAAATCCAAGTAGCACTAGAATAATCATCAACAATAGTCAAAAAATAACGGGCTCCAGAAAAACTAGGCATCCGATACGGGCCCCACAATCACAATGTATCAAATGGAAAATATCAGAACTAGTCGTAGAACTAAGAGGAAAACTAGTCCTAGACTGTTTGGCACGAAAGTAGACATCACAAGCTTTCTTACTATCCACTTTTGGACCAACAAATAAAAAGGATTCTAAGACCTGAGGGGAAGGATGTCCGAGGCGTTGGTGTCACAGATCAAAAGAAGAAACACCAGTAGATGTAACTTGAGCAGCAATCTCGATGGCCCGGAAGAAATACAACCCCTCTCGTTGCTCACCCACTCCAATCAGTGTCCTCAAAGCGAGGTCCTGGATAATACAAAAATCACGAGTGAAATGAGCAACATTACTGAATCCCGTAACAACTGTGAAACAGAAATCAAATGACACAACAAAGTGGGAACATAAAGCACATTAAGCAGCGTGATAGTGCTGCTGAGAATAACAGTGCCAGCCTGAGTGGCCCAAGTATGTTGACCATTAGGCAATCAGACCGAGATAGCAGGAATAGCACGAACATCCGTAAAAAAATCCAAATGACCAGTCATATGTCTAGTTGCACCGGAATCTTACATTCACAATGTAGACCAAGACATACCAGAAAGCTTGTCTGTCGAACCAGGCTTAGACGATTGCAAAAGTTGGAGTAAAGTCTGCCACTGATCATTGTTCAAACCGATGACAGCATTTGCAGAAACCGAAACACCAAAACCCGGAGCAAAGGAACCAGTGTCAACACCCGAAGAACGGCCACGCCCGTGCCCACTTCCACACCCGCGCCCAGCAGACCCATGCGACCAGCCATCCGGGTAACCCACAAGTTGAAAACATGTGGAAACATCATGGTTTGGCTTATTACAGTGGGTGCAAAACAAGGGTTTCGCACGAGCAGACCCACGGCCACCGGAAATCACATCAGCAGCAGCCGCAAAAGCGGACGAATCCCCGGACTGGGAAGGTGTTGCAGAAGCTGTGACGCCGGAGGAAGAACCAGGGACGCCGGAGGAAGGCTGAATCGCGAAGCTCTTGACGTCAGTTGTGGTCTCGGCCGACTAAGTAATCTGCCGCATTTTTCCTTCACGAACTATTGCCGCATAAACCTTATTGAGGCGGGGCAAAGGATCTTACGCCAGAATGTTGGAGCGAGCCGTACCATAGGTGGAATCATCCAAACCGAGAAGGAATTGATGAATTTTCTCAGTTTCAAGACATTGAGCAGCAACGGCGGGAAGATTGCAGGTACACTTGCTGCACGAACACGCCAGAAATTGATCGTATGTGGCCAAAGCTTCCCAAATCTTCTTCAGACAACCATAATTGGTGGCCATGGACAGACCTTTCTGTTTGCACGCCATCAGATCCGCCTTCAACTGTTGAATCTTCGGACCATTCACCTGGGAGTGACGTTCTTTGATGTCGGCCCACAAATCGGCAGCAACCTCCATGTGAGTGAGAGTCGAACGGAAAGACTGTTTGACAGAATTCATAATCCAGGAAACAATCAAAGCCGTATTTTTTTCTGGCCCGTAAGGCAGTCTTGACGGCGCTGCACCATTCATCATAATTGTGCTCGCCTTGAAGCTGAACTTGAGTGATGGATTGACCCGGCTGATCACTGCCGGAAATATCATAAGGAGAGATTGTTCGACGACGAGACAAATCATCGTTATGTGGATGATCACGGCCTTCCTCATCCGTCGGCAGAGAAACTGACTTGCTGGACTGAGGAGGATCGGATGGATTCATCATGTGGATTGCAATAGGAAGAAGAAATTACCAACGATTGATACCATAAAGGAAATAAAAGGCGGCGGCCGAAGAAAGAAAATTGAATTGGCTTTCTTGCCTTTTCTTATTGAGTTAGGGTTTCATATATACAGTTACCGCCGATAAAAGAATCACCGTAAATACAGTAAATACAAGACATTTACTAAACCCTAATACAATATGGTAATATCGTTAATAGATTGGTTTACGTTTGGCGTGATTCTTCGTGGATCAAAGCTGCGCTATATGAATCTGAGACTGGGGAATGGAGGGAAACCAGCTTTATGTTCGATAAGAGATTCGAAGTTTTTTGGTGTAAATGAGTAGTATGGAATGGAGATCTTCACTGGGTTTCTTCGTGGCGGTTCAGTGTATGCCTTGATATCGAAAATGGTTGCCAGAAGGAAATCATGGCTAAAATTCCTGGCATTTTCGTTTATCATAATCCAGAAATACCCGACTTGCAAGTTACTTGGCCTGAAATTTTCTTTTTCAGGGTGATTGGCGGAGATTTATGCCTTATTGGGCTAAAGGAACCAAAGTCGTTGGTGTTTGATGTTTTGGCATTGGAGACCAACTATTCAAGATGGAATGTGAAGTACTGTCTAGACCTTTCTGCACTCGCTACTTTGTATCCATCAATGGTGCTGGAGATGACTGGTGATCCTTCTCGTGATTGGTTAAGGTGTGAATTCCTCATGCTTAGCTGTTGTGTTAATGAGACAAGGAATCAAACTGAGTTACTGATATCAGTACCAGGTAAAATTCTCTCATTTGACATGAACAACATGGTTGTCAAAGAAATTACAGATTTCGTTGTTGGGAGTACTTGCGAAAAATGTGCGGATCTCTCTAGATACCGATGATCTCATGCATTCGAACACTTTGAGTCACTGGCCTGTGTTTAGATTTTTTTTTTCGTTTATTGTGTTTAGATTTTTTAGATAATTTATATGAGTTTGTAACTGTGTAGTTTGGTTTCAGATCCATGATCTGGAATTATTGTTACTGTTGCTCTTAGCAATGTCATAGGCTACTCTAGAATTTCCATTTTCTATTGCATTTTTCTCTTCTTTATGTTCAAGAAGTTTAGAAATTACCATTATCTTTTCTTTTTTTTTGTCCCTTTCCTTTCATGATGTTTAGAAGCTGGAATACCCCAGTTCCATCACAAGGAATGCTAATCATTGTTGCTAGATTCTGGTGGTTTTAAGGACTAGTAGTCGAACCGGTCAATCAAGTTAGCCAAATAGCTGATGAGTACACCTTGACGTTTAGTTTTAGAAACAAAGAAATTACGTAATTTCGCTCCAATATATGTAGGATGGACTATAATTAAAATAACTTGAGAAAACCTTCGGAAATGGAAGTAAGTGAGTACATTATGCAGTTTCCACATGAAGATAGAGACTATCTTATGCCTTACATAATTCATCAATAAATCTTAAGGCATAAAATGTCACTTAACCTTGTAGGCTCGCTTATTAGAGAAAGCTCTTGTAGAGGTTGGTTGCCAAATTTTAGATATCCATACTTCAATTCTGCATCATACTGAGTGGAAAGGCTGATAAATTCTGCATCACACATCTTGTTTCTTAAAATTCGCAAATAGTTAAATCCAAGAAAACAGGTTGTTTCTTAAGCTCCTTGAAAATATAATATGGATAAAAATCAGGTTGATATGGAAAGGCTGATAAATTGTGCATCACACATCTTGTTTCATAAAATTCACAAATAGTTAAATCCAAGAAAAGAGGTTGTTTCTTAAGCTCCTTTAAAATATAATATGGATAAAAATCATGCAAATCTGTCTTCCAGATGGTGGTGGAGTGGGGTACAAGGCATCCACGTCTAGATGAACTTGTCCAGGCTTGTGCGGAGAAATAGAGCATGATTCTAACTCTTCCTGAACATACCCAAGATTGCTGCTGCATCAATAAACGAAGATAGTGTAAGAAAGTTTCCCTTGGGGATAACTAAGTACTACTACATATTCAAGTCTACCACAAAGGATAGAATAGTTAAGATGAAGAAGATTAAATGCGAACAAAGAAGAAACATTATGATGTCACAAATTACTTAACATATCTATAACAAATACTGTATTGTTAATTAGTTACAGTAAAAGTAGCTACTCAACGACAAATGAAGAAATATCAAGAAAACTTTAACTAACCTAATGAAGTAGTAGTTCTAATATGAAATGAAAGAGGTAAAAATGAAGAATATTTCAAATAAAAACAAAAGTCTCAACATGTTCAAAAGCTTCCATCCATCTAAATTTGGGGTCATGTTGGCAATAATCTTCAGTATCCTCAGCAATCACATTGGCAATCTCTTACAAAATCATCTCTTGCATATCGAAAGACAGAATCTTCTCCAAGAATGATACAAGCAACTTGGGTTTTTTCTCGTTGTCTTTGACAACAATACAACTGAGCACAGAGAAGTTCCATTCCAAGAACCATCGCATACAACGTTCACCCGGTTCCTCAACAACCAATGATGGATACAAATTTTTAAGAGGGCCAATGTCCAAATTATATTTTAAGTTCCATCCTGAGTAGTCGAACTCCATCGTGTAAACACCAAACAACAACAATTCAGGATCCTTTAGCCCGATGACACATAAATCCTTACCAGAAACCCGGAAAAAGAAGATATTTTGACTGAAGTGCGACTCAACCCCTCTGGGAGGTGGAACTATAATCTCTTTCTCACCTCCATTTTCCAAGTCAAACCCTAAAGTATACCATCCTGAACTTAACCAATGTAAATTTTTGTTCCAAAGTGTTCCCTTCTCAAAATAAATTAATTCTTGAGGATCTCCAGGCGTGCAGTTGCTAACCGTCCAAACCTGCGTGTCAGATGCAAAGATTGTGAATCTGATCCACAAATGTTCAATCCAAACATACATTAATTTATACTGGTCGGAGCGCAAGGGATCAAATGCAATATTCAGACCTTGAAAGGGAGAATCATCTTGAGGACTAAAAAGGGACTCAACATCTAGCAACTTGGGAGCATAAATCCGAGGGATTATATGCTTATGTTTACGAGTAGTCGGGTTATAAACAAAAATCTCCGTTCGATCATTCAATTTCATGGCTATTGCGACTAACCCATTGCATGAATGGAATCCCAAAATTTGACTAACATCAAAATAATCTCTAAAATGAGAAACAATGGAACTCATCGGATTTACGTACTCTTCACAATGGGAGAAAAAATTGAGCTCCGGCGGCATTTTGGTTCCTTCTAGCGGTACAAAAAGTGACCAACGGTGCCACGTTTATAACGGAGGCGTCGGAAATAGGATCCGGAAATGATCGAAAGCCATTTTTTAGAAACACACTGGAACCGGAAAAGTGACTTTAGTAGCATAGAGACTAAGAGTTGCATCAAGAGATATTCATTCTCGGCTATAACATTCGCCAAAAATATAGATGATGGGCAAGAGGCATCCTTAACAGTGCGTGAGATTTTCAGGTTTCGATTTGGAGGTTCGTCGGGAATGGATTCTAAGGGTGGGGGGCGGAAACCACTAATTTTCTTTCTCGTTTAGCCTAGTAAATGATGTTGTATGCCTTGTTTAAAGTTAAAGTTGGGGGGCGGAATCCACTAATATAAAAGTGAAAACAAAAGTTTACTTAACAATTAAAATTATAAAAAACAAAACAAAAAATATCGCCTATCAACAGTTAAGAATTATTAAAGTTTTTATTTTTAAAGTCAACATAAAATTATTTTTTCCATCATTTAATACATTACTTTTTCCATATTGATATTAAAACGTTATAATCACTAAAAGATTTAATTTATGTGCTGAAAAATAAAATTAAAAAAACAAGATGATTTTATTTCAAGACTTAGAATCTAGTTTGTGTTGTTCAATTATTATATCCCCAATACAAATTATTCAAGAACACTACCCTCTTTATTAAGTTTTTACTCTCCACTGCCCGTAATTCAAATATTTCCTAGTTTATAGTATACTTAATCCAATTTTGGATTCCCCACCATAGCTCATTTTAATCCATCAACAACCAATTAGAAATGTAACCGTATATATAAGAACTTTAATCTCTGGTGGTTACTGAAGTATTGCTACATATTCTACGCTATCACAAAGGATTTTGAATAGTTAAGATGGAGTAGAATAACTGTGAATGAACTAGAAATATTATGGTCTCAAATATCACTATGTAAAAATAGCTACTCAACGACAAGTAAGAAATGTCCAGAAAAGCCTTCACATGTTCAAACATTTCCATCCATCTAAATCTCCACATGGATTGAAAGAGCAAAAAAAATGAAGAAGGCTTTCAAATGGAAAGCAAAAGTCTATGGTAATGAATAAACTTTTTTGCTCCAATTAATAACATTGGGCCATCAAATTTAATTAGTTAGATTGTCCTTATCCAAAATGCTAAGCCCAAGTCCAACATGAAGAAATTTATGGAATAAAGAAGATGTAAAAAGTAGTGAAAGTGTTCATGAAGTAATCTAGATAGAGTTTGTGTAATATTATATGTAAACAGGGATGTAGAATGATGGGAAAAACTTGGAGTACGTACTATAAAATCTAGAGTTTGTATAATATTATACGTAGACAGGGATGTAGAATGATGGGAAAAACTTGGAGTACGTACACAAGTTTAGAAGGGATGTAAAAGTTTTCCATTGGAGTACGTACTATAGAATAGGGGCTTAGACTTTAGTGGAAGCATGAAGAAAAAGTTTTAAGATTTCATAAGCAAAAAACTTACTACTTAATAAAGTTTTTTTTTACTAAAAAGTAGTAAATCTCTATTTCTCCCAAATAAAAATTTCCCTCTATTCCATTACCACTTCCCATATCACCTAAAAGGTCTTCCAAAGGTACAAAGCTCGGCATAAAACGGTAAAGGACAACAAGGACAAAGGGATTTTGAGATATTCTTCGAATTTGGTTCATCCATTAAAGTACTCTTTTCCATCGTCTCACGTGATAATTTTGAGTGTTAGAATTATAATTGAAAATGAAATCACTCATCGGAAAACTACGACAAAATGAACGTTATTAGCCTTTTCATGTACATAGAAAGTTGGAAGCTGATGAGAATTAATTATTGAGTTACATAGATTTGACTCATTTCAGGTAAATTGGGTAACATAGTACTACCTCCGTCGCAAAACAATAGTCAACATTGAGTTTTCAAATTTGTACTAAATACAATACAAAACTCAAAACTCAATGTGGATTATTTTTTTGAGAAAGAAGTTGCATTATTTTGTATAGTTAATTGAATAATACTTAAGCCTACTCTGCCATTATTGCGAGCCTTCAATAAAATAAAACACCAAAATCTATTTCAAGTAATATCAAAAGATTCAACTCCAACATCAGAAGAAAAAATTAATAAAAAATAGTAAGCGTAGTATAATCAACAATTCCAATTAAATGTAGGAAAGCATAGTATTTGAAAATGTAGGCTTGTACCAAAAAAAAAAACAAATGTAGGAAAATTTTCAATTCTGATTATAATCAACAATTTTTTTTGTTTATCCAATGACATTGAACTAATATATTTTTGATTAATTTGTAGAAATTTTAATATAGAATGCAAGGGAAGAGTGACTGACGAAGCTGGTCCCATTCCTTTGCCTCCGTTGCTTGTTAATTTATAAAACAGGGCTAGTGTTATGAAATTGAGGAACACATAGTTTTACCATTACATTTGTTAGCAATTTCGGATTTGGAAATATAAATATGATAATCAAAACGTTTTAATCACACTAAAATCGGAACAAATGATTCATCACTAAATGTAAGATAGCACTTATAGAGTAGTTTATATATAATGTTAAATCAACCTCAAACAGTTCTTAGATCTCAAACTCAGTACTTCATACAACTTTTAAGTCACTTTAAGACCTAGTCAAATCTAAACTTACAAGTTTTGCGATGAATACAAAAATCAAGGCTTGTCATACGAGAGTATTAGATCTTACAGGGAACATAATTCAATACTCAGGTAAGTCGATGATTTTCACATTGGTGATAAGATGAAATGGAAAACCTTGTAAACCTTGGCTATACTCAGAGCATCCACTTGGTGATGATGTTTGTGCCCTAACATTCAGAAGACGATGGGCAAAAGACGGTGAAAAAACAGCATCTCTAGCATTAATATGATCTGGGTTATTATTCTTCTTCCTTTTTGCGGATGACTTGATCTTCCTCTCTTTTCTTGCATCCTTTGGGGAAATCATCATGTCATCCATTAAGTTAGCATCATATTTCCTCACTCCAATACCCTACATAATAGTTTAATTTAATTATTATAATCTAATTCACACAGGAATTGTAAAGTTAATTTGAAGATCAATAATATAGATTAAATAATCATAGTAGCTAGCTTCTTCTGTTCTAGAAGCACAATGCATTTTCTTATACTATTTTGCTACATTAAAATGAACATGTTTTTGAGACGTAGAGATTAATTAATTGATATGAAAAAAAAGCTTACATATCTCTCGCTGTCCTTATCTTTGTATATCATAATGAAATCTCCAAGTTGCAAGCCATGAGTTTTCACCAATTCACCTGGAATATTTTTACAGATTTCATTTGTACCCCAGGTAAAAATATTGCCACACAATTCTACGAACATTTTAAATTTAGTTTCTTTTATTTGGCAAAGGAACATTGTTACCTCATTTTTGTATTTTGAACCGTATAATATGACATTGAACACACTGTACATATCATGCAAAAAAACATACTTACTGAGGTGCTTAGAAATTTAAATGTCGAAACCTAAAATCGACTTGCCTGTGCTCTCGAGAACATACACTCTACTTGCGTTGTTTTGCCAAAATCTGTCAATTTCATAGTAGAGGCATATGAATGTTTAAACTGATCATATGCACTTTAATAAACAACTTTAATAAGTAAATACCATTTGCCTCTGCTAAAGATTATACTTTTTCAACCGATTTAATTTACCTGAATCTAAACATCCAAATTCTATCTACAACCATGTCCTCCATAAACATGTGATGACCCAAGTTTGATTCTAACTTGGGCAAGTACTTCTCAGCATAGGCCTGTGCACAAAACCCAATATCATCAATCATCAGTAAATTATACTTTCTCCATCATTAAAAAACCAATCCAGTTTTTTGTGCCGATTAATTTTTTGGAAGAAAACAAACTATGTGCGAAAATAACTATTTTTAATCATTTCTTACCTTTGGAATGATGATGCGACCTTCCTGTTTCACATCACTGTGTTTTAATTTTTTCTCAAAAAGAAATTGCATTATTGTATTGTTAACTTCCTGCACAAATGGGAAATGTAGAAAATCATATTCGAATATACACTTCCATTTGCACAATTTTCTAACATGCAGCCCATTGCACATTTATACAGACACAGGTTATATCCTCTTCTCCACTTTGTTATTCGTATATGTTTAAGGCTTTAGAAAACTATACTATTTACGGTAAGAGAGCAACCAAAACTTATCATCTTAATGCAAAAAAAAAAAAGAAAAAAAATGTTATCATATTATTGCTACACCTACAATGAGTTTGCATATAACAATTGATGCAAATTTATTTAATGGTACTAACATACGTCCATATGTATATTTTCCAATCAACATATCAACTATTTTCTTAAGAAAGGAAAATAATTTTTTTAATAAAGTGAAGGCTGATGATTTTGTCAAAACAATAAGTAGGATCCAGTGCACAACTTTGTAAAATTATCTAAAATACCCTTACTAGTCACACAATCATTTCCACTACAATCCCATTCCATTCGGCGGCCATATTTAGACATAAATTTTTCCTCATTTCAATCTTTCTTTCCTTGTAACAACTCACATCATCACAAGCTTACGATTCTTGAATCGGAGAGGAATCTGAAATTTGCAGAGATGCTCAAGAAAGTAAAAGTATCACGATTGCAGATTCTATTAATCTATTTTCAGCAAGCGAAAAAAATTTAAATAATTGTGAAAATTAACTTTTTTTAGATCAAAATCATCTATCCTTATTTCTTTTTTAAGAACAAACATCATTCCCATCTTTATTCAAAGCAATTAAACCAGAGTCTCTGCAAGGAATGTCACATTCCAATACCAAAACGAACCTTGATATAACCAATAAATGTAAGAATATGAATACATTTAAACAAGAGTCAAGGGATTGGATTCATGTGTTAGGATGCATTGTAAGAAATCTGAAAAACAGAAAAATTTGTTCGAGATGTTGGAATAAGAAAATTTTCCCTTATCAAATGTAAACCCTAAAACAGACACACACACACACACACACACACTGAGATTCATCAACTGGAAGGAGGATAGAGGACAAGTGGAATACCACTTTAACAGAGTTGAAATTGGGAGCTGAAAATAGCAGATTGATCAGTAAGGCTAGAGTATGCAATTACAAATACAAAATCTTTTCTTCTAGATGCTACTAATTTCCTTGTGGCAGAATCAATAGCCTAGTATTAAATTACATAGTGTATATTTACGTCGAATGCGACAACACATATTTATTGATATTGTTAATTATATTTGTTTATACAACTAATTTGATTGTCGTTTGTGTATCAACCCAACGTTAACTATGCATATTAATGTTTAATATTTTTAATCTATATTCAAATGGAAAAACAATAAGAGGCTTTACGAACTTTTAATTCTAATGCGAATAAAGCGATTACACTCATTTTTGCCTCGAGAATTCGTAATCTAAACTCTTGTAGGCATAATTCATTTTTTAATCTAAACCATAGCTGACAAAGAAAAATAAAAACAACATATGTGCGTTTGAGAACAATTGATATGGATATAATTACCAATAATCAATTCATACATACTTTAAAGGAGCTAATATAAGATATTGAAAAAAAAAGAACAAAAGAAAGACCAAAGAAGATTCAAAGGCAAATTATTTATTTATTTATTTTGCTATGAAGCACTTGAATTTTAGCACTTATACATGAAAGTATGTTTTGATTACATTAAAAGGGGGGAAAAGAAGTTGGCATGTCAATTGTATTTTCACCGCTACAATTTAAAAATCTTGGATCTGGCCAATAACCGAATGAAGATAGATTCTAAACAAATTATTGATTGCAAATATAAGGGAAAGACAAATTAATTAAGAAAAATTAAGAATATAGTGATGACGATGGAAATGAATTTAAGAAAATTAAATTCAACTTACAATATCACGATGATGAGGTGGATGAATACTTGACCTTAACATTGAATAATCGTGTCCATCAGTTTGGGATTTCCACTTCAACCTTAGATTTTGAAGCCTTAAGATTGCATTTGCTCTTGGATTATTATCACCACTTTGTGGCTGTTGCTCCTGCTTTTGTAGCTGATCATCATTCTCCAGAATTTTTATTATTGAGTCCCTATTCATCATGATGAATAAATTGAAATAGTGTCCACACACAATCAATTACTAAATTATAATTTTATTTTCTAATTTAAATTTACTAATCAAGTAACTGAGTAACAAAATTTATTCAGCTCAAGGAAGGATACATGTTCCTTATTTTTTCCTCTCTTTTTCTCAGTTTTGCTCAATATTGCGAGTACAAAATATTGCTGAGATGGTCGAAAGTCTTATAGGTGACGTTTGTATTAAATCGAGGGGTTGACAAAGCAGAAAATCCAAAATTGTATTTGATTGACAAATGTCGGTGGCAATTAATGATATCATTATTATTAATTTTCAACCGTGAATACGTCAATGAATAATCTCACTGTATAAAAAGTTTTTTGACATGTGGAACATTAGGATCTCAGGATGAGAATTTGGACATAATTGGGCTGGCAAGTGAGAGTGTGAGCCCAAGAACTATGTATTATGGTGTATAAGAAGGTTATCGCGAGTTCATGTATCAAATTTATATTAGATTAATATATAAGCATCAAGTAGTAATTCTGTAACAATTTACTACCATCAATGAAATTATCTATTATCTGAATTCTGCGCTTTTTCTCCCTCATTCCCAAATTTCTCTATGTACTCAACTCTTTCTCACCATCCTCTTATTCCTTTTCTGATTTTTTCTTTACACTATTCAAATTCTAGATGAAATACCGGGTCAGTCAAAGCAACAAATCACCGAAAAGGTCTGACGTAGCGAAAAAAGGGAATGTCCTCATGCTGTAGTAAGCTCTTTCTAAAGATGGCTATGTGCCTTTTGCTTGGTGCTTGCCTTTTTGGTAAAACTGCAAAGTGACAAGTATTTATTTTGTTTTGAGGGTGTTTCTTAAGTTTTAATTTCGACAGCATTGCTTATGATCATAATACTGAATGATGCAAATTATATTAACCAATTTGGTAATTCCCATTCCATTTCATTAATTTTAACATTTATCAACACATATTATAATTAGGTGATGTAATATTGGGTTTGGCTATCCTTTAAGTACTATGTATGATTTTCTTCTCTTTTTACCAAAAAAATGAAAAGACTTAAATATTACAACTTGGTAATACTTTGATATTCTAACCTTTGATTTTCTTCCATTAATAATTTCAGCTTTTATTTTATTCTAAAGATTATAAAGAAATTGATGTTCATTATTAGGTGAATCTAATCGACCACAAAATACATTCAAGGATTTTAGCCTTTTTTAAATTTCTCATTGTCTTTTATTTTTTTCTTCTTTCGATTTTAAGATATCATTGATGCAAGCTTGAAAGATTATTTTACAACTCAAATAGAATGCTATGACTTTTGGATCCTAAAAATTTGTTAACATATAATTCTAAATAATAAGAGTTTTGTGGTCACATCTACCTTTTTCATTTTTTCAAGTGTCTGTCTTTTACACTAACCTCTCATCCCATGTTCATAAAAAATAACCACCTAATCATTATTTTTACTGATATACTCTATTTCTTGTGAAATTTTCAGTTTTGATTTCTTCTTCTTCTTTGGTTTTATTTTTTCCCCTGGTTGTTATATAAAAATTTAATTGTATTCTATGTTCACTTATATATTTGTCATTTTCTTTTTTTAGAGTTAGATATTATTTTCATTTATTTTAAATTATCAAGAAACTGGGTAACAATAATATTCACATTCACGCGAAGTGTGTTTATTCTATTTAGTCTAACTACTACCACCAATTATTGATAAGGTATAGAATGATTTATTATAAAGTGACACTATGCAGAAATGCAATAAACATATTATATATATATATATATATAATACTTCAAAATATTGCATTGTTCTAGAGTGACAAACTCCATATTTACATTATCATTCGTAATCCGTTACAAAAATATTTATGAAGTATTAGTGATGTAATCACCACATCATAAAATAACAGGGAGAAGACAAAAGGCAAACCGAATGTAATAAAATCATTATTACGAGGTTCATTGCTTACTTCAAAACGTATCGAGGGATTAAAACAATAATAATAACTAAATGTCAGAAATAGAAAAAAATTAGAAGTTGAACCAAGAAAAGAATTACGTTTGTTGGAGAAAAAGTCACGTAGATATAAACTTTAGAGTAAATGTGAACTGTAAGATTCACATCTGAAAGGAAAATTATCAAATTGTCTTATGTATAATAAGTTAAAATAAATGCCGCTTGGCCAATTGATTTCTTAAGTCGTATGTTAGTTACATGACATCAGCCACACATCACGATTACAAGATATTTTTTATTGGGGGCAAAAATGACTTCAACTAATATGTGTTAATTTTTTTTTTCCAAAACATCCCCCATTCAAAACATTGTCATTTTGAAGAGGCCTCCTTTTTGTTTATTTTTTTTTTAAAAAATAAATAACCAGGAATAGCAAGAACATGTCAGCTACCTCTGCCCATATCATCCAACCACCTTTGCGATCGGAAAAAAAATCCTCACGTTCTTCCGCCCTCCGCCTATGCCGACCCAAATCAATTCCGCGAACAAGAACCCTTACCTTTCTCCGCTGATAGCAATCTTGTAGATGAAGCAAATTTCGTTAATGCAACCATAAAACAAGAAAGTATGAAGATAAGTTGTCTAACCCGTGAAACTCAAAAGAGTGCGGAAAATTCACAGTAAGACGATCGTTTATCTAAGGATTTCTATCTCCTAAGTCAAACCAAGCAAAGAACACATTATCTATGAAAGATTCAAATTAAACAACAACCCACACTAAGAATAGTAAGGACATCATTCAATATAGTCGATCAGTCATCATTCAAGAGACCCAAGAAAGGTAGGAGAAAACAATGCTCAACTATAAACGAATACTATTGATTGGTAATCCCCATAACCAACAAAGATATGCAACACATACACTATCTCAAAATGCTTATGCCAAAGCACAACTCATCCAACAAAAGTAGGACAAACCCCACAATGGAACACATGAACACACACATCATGAATTCGAAAACCACGCCAAAAGAAAGGCTCATCAATCGAACTACTAGAAGTAGTATGAAAATAAGAAGTTTAGTTTTAAAACAATTCTATCAAGAAGCATACTTGAAAAAGAACGGTTTCTGCAGGATCAAAAGATCCAACACAAGATGAAAACCCTCTTGGTTAAATCATACTTGACACAAAAAATGGACACTCTATTTAACAAAAATTCCTCACAAGAAAAACTCTCAAAAAACACAACAAAAATGACCACTCAAGGGTGCTTTTGATTTTCGGCCATCCCCCTATTTATAGGCTAGTAATTTTGGCCAACACCAAGAAAAGAAGATCAACTAGGACTCTCTAATCTTATCTCACGCAGGAGTAGAAGTAGAAGAGTATTTGATCTCTTTGACTCTATCTAAAATTTATGAAACCTTATCTAAATAACTTATCCTCAAATAGGATAATACTTAAAAGGAATCTAAGACTCCTAATCAAAACACTCTAGCTTAATTCAGCCCACATGGCTTATCTAACTAGATAAAATTCGAAAATTAACTCATAGACTTAGACAAACTCTAATCTCGAAAATCAGCTCCAAATTATTGAACTAAATGTTTTGAACGCCCTTCTAAAAGTGGAATATTGGTCTTGCACCCCTTAAGTTGTAGATAACTCTAATTAAGATTGGAAAAACACTTGAAACAATTGAGATAGTTTGCAACCTATCTAATTGTGTAGCAATGGACTCAATCTTGAACACTTTGATCAAATAGGCCGTCCATTCATGAACCTAAATGATTTTTCTCTCTAGATTGATCAATGATCTTCATGGAACACCTAGAGTCAAACTCCCTTGATATTCTTGAGCACTTATTTCCATGAGTTCATCATCTCCTTTGGTGTGAACCCCAAAGTTAATGACATTCTCATCATCTTGATCATAGCTCTCTTGAACCAACTCCCTAACACATAGGTAGTCAAGATCCATGCTTTTTTCCTTGATTGGCCTGCAAAGTAAACTTGGCATTCTAAAACTAGAATGAAGGACTAGCTCATTCCCCTCACTAGGAGAATCACCAGGGAAGGCTGTATGATTCTCATCATCCCTCATTCTTTAAGAGGATTCGTCCCCGAATCATCAACCTCTAAACCTGCACAAGGAACAAACGAGATATAAGGATTAGTAAAATCCTCACCGTCACCATACTCTGATTTTCTCTCATTGCGTGCAATTTGTTTTTTGTTTCCACGCTATTTTCATGGTTTTCTCTCGCCTCAAGTCTTACCTCAGCATGACCCTTTTTACTTTCTTGCGTCACTCTCTCGACTTTTTCTCTCCCTTGTGTATAGGTTATCTTACGTCTTTTCTCTCGCACAGATTCAGCTTCTTCATAAGCCAAAGGCTTAAGAATGTATTTTCTGTCCTCTTTAGTAAAGACAAAGATATTCTTCGAGCAATGGTGCACAACATCTACATCTGATTGCCAAGGCCTACCTAGCAAAATATCACAAAGAGACATAGGAATTACATCAAAGTAAATTTCATCCCTATACTCACCAACTTGAAAAGATACCATGGCCTTCTTAGTGACATACACACATCTCTTCACTCAACCATTGAAGTTTGTATGGTCTAGTATGCGGATCCATCTTGATTCCATTTGCTATGCAAAATTCCTCACTTATACAATCAGTACACGACCTACCGTCGATTACCAAATCAACTTCATTGGACAACCCAAGCGAACACTTAGTACGAAAGATACATGTCCGTTGATCACCATCTTTAGCGCCACACACCAGCCCTTGATGCTCAATTGGAACATTCCAACCACAAGAAGTATCATGCTCTCTCTCCACTTCTAAAGCAGAGTAGTATGCCTCATAGAGCTTTGATTGCCTCCTTATCTTTGGGTCTAGTTTGTATAAGAACACCCTTAATTGCTGTTTGACAACAACCAGCAATTTCAGAAGTCATTGTTAATCAACAAAGTTGAAAAACCACCAAAAGAAGTAATTGTGCTTT